CAAGGAATGGAGTGAGCTGTCTCCTGGATTTTCCTAAATTAGCATAGTTAGGGTTGTAATTTGTGTCCTTTTTTTAGTTCCCCAAGTTGTGTGGGTACTATCAATTCGAGAAGCAGTACTTCCAGCAGTTGAAGGATCTCAGCATCGTCATTGTTCGGCCATCGAATTGGGCAGAGGTGGTGGAAGAAGAAGCTTCAGTGGGGAGTCTAGATGGTGACAAGAAGAGGAAGGAATTGGAGCACAAGCTGGAGAAACTGATGTTGAAGATGAACATGTTAATTGCTTGTGTTGTATGTGTTGTCTTTGGGTGTGTAGTGATGTATGCTGTAATAAAGTAATGGATGAATGAAACTGAAAAATGTTGTCCCCATAATTTTATTGTCTGGATGGATGAATGAAACTGATGGATGACTGAAACTGAAATGATGAATTGACACATAATTCACAGAGGTATGATAAAAATAGATCACATGAACATCATTTCATAGAGCAGTGGCACATAATTCACAGAAACCATAACAGGTTCAGATAGTTGGGATGTCTACACATCCATTGACATTTGGCCACTTACATCACAGTAGCTTAAGGCCACACATTACATAGTCATTAGGCAAGTTCCAACACAAAAGCTTGTGGCCACACATCACATTGTCTTGTGGCCACATAAAGCACATAATGTTCAGGTGTTTCACTTTTTCTTCCCCTTCTTTGCTGGAATCTTCTTTCCTAGACTCTTCCTGACCTTGGATGCCAGCTGCTTCCTCCTTGGTGTCATCTTCCTTGGAGCACCATCAGCAGGCATGTCTTGAATCTGGTTTACAATTTACAAATCAAGGCAGGTGTTCCTGTGTTCAAACATCCAGGAGTTCAGGGTTGCATTCTTTGGCAAGCATAGAATTGTAAAGGTTGTATCATACCTTGGAGGTGTTCTTGGGCTTGATGGTGGAATTGTCTCCAGTAGTGGCACATCCAGGAGATGCCTCTCTGCTTGTTCTGCTGCTTCTGTTGTAGCAGCAGCCTTATCTGCTGCTTCTGCAGCCTCTCTTGCTGCCTTTGCAGCTGCCTCTCTAGCCATTGCTGCTCTTGTCCTCGGTGTTCCTTGGTCTGTTGGTGGATGGTCCTTCTTGGCCTTCTTTCTTTCTGGTCTAGGTGTTGTCTTCCTGGTCCTCTTCCTGTAAATAAACACCACAGTTAGGTTAGTTGTTGCTTATTTGTTGAAATAAGATAATAGTTCAGTATTTACCTTTTCTTTATCCCTGTTAGTGCACACCTCCAGCTACCAGTTCTGTGGCCATACTCACCACAACCAGTACATTTTACCTGCCTAGTTCTTTTTCCAGTTCTTTCAGTTGGAGATAGGTACCTGCTCTTCTTCAATCTGCCTGGTACTTTTTTCTTCTTGGACAGTGGTGGCAACAACTTGAAACCCTTGTCAACCTTAGGTCATTGGTCCCTGTCAGTGATGTTTGGGATAATACCATGGTAGGTAGCCTGAAACTTCTTAACAGAGTAGTATTTGTCCACATATAGGTCCATTTGGGGCTGTCTCATAGTGGTGATGACAGCCAGTGCATGTGGGCATAGCTTCCCAGTTACCTGCCATTTTCTACAGGTGCAAATATGCTTTGTAAGATACACAATATGCCTCCTTACTTCTTCATCTTTATATATCTCTGTGACTTTTGCTTCTTCTGGATGCCCCTTGGTCACTTTGAGGTGGCCTAGACCCTTGGAAGCTGCATTGAGCTGGTGTATGACAGCAGGTAAGGTTCCTTTGGTCAAGGCAGTGGAGATCTTCCTTCTCTTAGCAAACAGGACCATTGTTTTCTCCCTGATAGTATCATCCAAACAATGCACAAGCAGATCCTTGTGCTCTTTGATCCATGCATTCTAGGGACTCAGCTAAATTATTATTGATGTAGTCACATTTGATGTCACTGTTGAATTTGCTCCTAACCCAGAGTAGGTTATGGTGCTCTTTCAACCAAGTAAGCACACCAGGGCTAGCTGCCACAACCTTGTCAAAGAAATACTTGAATTTGTGAGGAGCATAGGCCCTAGCTGCAGGCTACATGTTTCTGGCATAGACATCTCCACTGTAATATTTCTTCATATTCTCCATCAAATGTCTGAAGCACTCTCTCTTCTCACACCGAGGCCACACTTGAGCCACTTCTATCTCAAGACCCTTGCAAGCATTAGTGCATATTGCTAACTTATCCATAGGTCCAATTGCTTTGCTAAGCTGCTCTATGAATCAGATCCAATTTTCTTGGTTTTTGAGTCAAACAATCCAAATGCTAAAGGATACATCCAGTTATGACCATATAATGCTTGGGCTAAGAGGGCAAGTGGACATTCCACAGCCCATTAAGGTTTGTGGAGTCTATATTAATGTATGGTCTACATCCATGTCTAAAACCATCTATGGCTGCCTTGAAACAACAAAAAATCTGCTGAAATGAATCTTCCCATCAACTTCTTCAGTAGCTATCTCAACTATGGTACTAGGTGATCATATCTCTACCTCTGCCTTAAATCTATACAACCAATCAAATGAGTCACCCCACTTACCAAAAAGCTTGTTGGTTGCTCTCTGTCTGCCATACACTGTAGTTTGGTAGGGGATCTCAATCTTGTATTTGGTTTGCAGCTCCTCCTGCACTTCCTTTGGACCCATGCTTGGCTTCTTCTTGAGTAGTGGAATAGCCCTCTCGGCCACCCAAGCTTGTGAGGCTATCCTGCCAACCACTCTGCTTCTAGAGGCACAATTATGCTGTCCTTCATTTATTTGCACCTACATATGCACAAAACAACTAAACATAAGTAACTAGACAAACATAACATCCAGACAGTTTAAATGAAACAAAATAAATCTATAAAAAATACCCTTACACTCCCATTGTGTTGGGTTCTAGCTCTAATAATCCAAGGACATTCAAGAGAAGCATAGTTTCCCCCAAATCTTGATGTATCAGAGTGTACAGTGTGAAGCTCAAACTCCTTGACAATTGCATGTTGTCTCATAGCTAATCTAAAATCATCCATAGAAGGGTAAGAAACCCCTATAGACATATCTGGGTTATCCATGTCCCAATCAAATATTGGCTCCTCACCCACATGATCATCAACTGGTACAGCTCCATCTATCATATCACTCTGCATCTCAGCTGTCATGGTTGGGATAGACATAGCTTCCCTAGCTACTTCCTCTGCTCTTTCATCTGCTGCTTTGAAACCCATTGCCTCATACACTTTGTCCTCATCAGCAACTTCCTTGGCCTCTCCATCCTCATTAGGCTCTGACAATATAGTCAACTCAATCCAATCAACCTCTTCTGCTTCTTCCACTAGCACAGATGGAGGTGGTGAGCTGCCAGTGTCACCACTGCCTTCAACATTATTAGGAACAACACTGCCTTCTACATTATCAGGAGCACCACTGCCTTGTGCATTACCAGGAGCAGCACTGCCTTGTGCAGAAGTGACACCAGATGCACACCTAACACCAGAGCTAGTATTGGCACTTTGAGCATGTCTGCTGACTACATCCACTATAAGCACAGCTCCCCTGTCATCCCATCTATCATTTATTAGCTGCTCAAAATGTTCATCCCTCCTAACTTTCCATTCAGATTCACTGTCACTGTCAACCACCCAAACATCCAATGTCTGTGAAGGTCCCCAGATTATCTTACTGGCCATTTCATCATGGAATTTAGACAGAGAAAATTGCACAGTCCTATCCAGCCATAGTTCATGCTCCTGCGGTGACATTTCTACTTACCCATACTCGCCATCAGCAACATACTTAGAAATCTTAACAACTAATCTAAAAGCGTTGCTAGGATCAATCCTGACACAATAACGAACAGAAACACAAATCAAACTGTTAGACGGTATCCTACTACACAGCATCTTCCCAATCCAGAATCAAAGCGAGGACGAAGTGCACTGAAGTTTAACTTACCAAATAGGGCAACCACTCCAATCCATTGCGTCTCCAATCTCCACCGCAAAAGCCACTACATCAACGGCCTACGAAGCAAGGAAGGCGTACAATTTCACCATCACGGGTAGGAACCCTAACCTAACCTACAATCCCATCAAAACCAGTGCAATAAAACGAGCGGGATGGCGACAATGGCGGTCCACACGTACATTCAATCCATCGAGAAAGCTGGGAGAGGAAGGCGGCAACGGTGGTGGCGGAGGGCTACGACGAGAGCGGTGAGACGAAGAACGAGCGAATGAGCCGGGCGAGGCGACTAAGTGCGGCCTGACTGGGTTAGCAGCAGAGGGCAAGGGCAGCCGTGGTCATTTGCCACACCCATGCTGCCTCGGATCTTATCTGGACTGACACGCTGGCGTGCCACAAGCGTAAAAGTGACAATTTTATATCTCTTCTCTTCGTTACATGCAAAATTCGTATTGTCTGCCCTTACAGTGAGACGGTGCATGGTAAAAAGTTATTCTCCGGTCTTCCCTCACTTTCCCCATTTCTGTTCCTTCCGCTCCCTCTCCAGCTATCACCGGCGACCAAAAATTGAGTGATTCGTGTCCCCCGTCTCCACGATCAACTTGACCTTGCTTCTTCACGGCCGCGCCGCGCGTGCTCTCCTCTCCGCCGCTCTCACCATCGTCTCCGTTATGAGTTCTTCGCCGCTGTCACAGGCGGCCGCCGCGGGGTATGGCTGCTGCCTCTGCCCCTCCTGCTCGCATCGACCACCATCACCAAGACGGCGAGGAGGCGACGAGTGGGTGCGTGGGGCGTGCACGCAGACTCACACTCGTGATCCATTGCCTCCCATTTCCAGGCTCAGGTCGCTTCTCTTCATGGATTTGGGTGCGAAGGGAACATTCAACTAAGCTAGCTATTCTAATTGTTTTGTTCTCGATCCTTTAATTCAGGATGTGGAGTCCAAGGGACTGCTCGATCCTTTAATTCAGATTTAGTTGGCATTTTCATTCAGATTTGGGTGTCTAATTTTTTGTTTGTCTCAGTCCATCCGCATCGAACACCCCTGGTGTAGCTTCAATTCTTCCTTTGCCTCCTTGTCCATGAAGGAATCCAACGACACCTCGCACAGCTGCAATTCTTCTCTTGCCTCCTTGACCATGGACCCCTGGTGCAGTTTCAATTCTTCTTCTGCCTCCTTGACCGTGAAGGAATCCAACGACACCTGGTGCAGCTTCAATTCTTCTCTTGCCTTCTTGACCATGGACTCCAATTGTGAGAGTGCCTTACGCCTAACTCCACGGACCCAAACAAAATTGCTGTAGATCTTCAAGTAAGCCGGCTTATGGAGCTTAGTTTCATAGAGATGTGCATCAGCCAACAATTGCTCTGCCTCACTCTCTGACAGCATCTGAAAGGAAAAAACACGCATAGGTTCATTACTTGCCATGAGAAATTTTCATCACATGCACAGCCAGAAGCTGAAAATACATTTGAACATTACAATTTACCTCTTCAGAATCACCGGTTTCAACTTGCTCTTCAGGATAACAAATTAACTTGAGAGCAGTTGCAAGTTTCACTTCATCCCAATTCGTAGAATTAATTGTTGATACCTCTGAAAGCTTCGCCCTACCATGATCCAAGTATGAAGCACGTTTATCCACACAACGATCACTCTCATACACGATAGATGCCATATCAACGATGTCTGAATTAACCTGCATAAAAGGAGTATTTGCTTCATCTCTAACAGAAAAACACAAAGGCAAAGTTTTCTGCGAGAGTAACATACAAATACTTGCGTCAGTGGGCTCAAAGAGGGAAGAGCACAAACTATAGGGAAGTGCAACAGTAGATGACAGGGAGCAAAAAAGCAGAAAGCATTCTATCTCAGGCATGCGAAAGGAAGTAATTAGCTCACCATTTTGGATTCAACCTCAAAGCCATAAAGATTCAGGACTAATTTCAGTCCTTGACACATCTGGAAGTGGTCCTCATTAGTCAGTTCTACTTCTTCATCAGGCACTAAAACCTTGATGAGATACTTCAAGCCCCACATTACTTCCAGCACAGCTTCATTAAACAGGCAGTGAATTCCCTGGCAAAAAAAAGAAACAGAACAAAACTTGGGCTCAAAAGGTTCACTGGCATAAGCATACAAGGGAAGCTTACACTCACAAAACTAGCTTCAATGATGTTTTTATATTCACATTTTCCAACAGCAAGTCTCTGGCCAGGCCATAGTGACCTCTTGATCATCTTAGCAAGCTTAGAACAAACACCATTACTATTAATGGCGCTGGCCTTGTCATTGAAAACTTGAAATTCTTTAAGAAAAGCAACCTGATAAATAAAGGTATAACAAAGACAAGCATGCATGTTAGCAGAGAACGAATCATCAGTCAAATATTATGCCATGCATCAATCATGACTAGAGAGGATGCATGTTAGCAGGTATGCTTCAACTGTAAAGATGTAGCGTATTTAAGTCCTCATTTATCAAAATTTTGCAGTGTAATTCAGAATAGGTCAGTGTGCTAAGATAACGCAATGTATGCTATTTTACAAACATATCACAGTTGTGTCGTTTGGTAGAACTATCCTACTGTGCTCCTGGCAAAAATCATAACCTTAACCAGATACCCTTTAACTGCTAAGTTAAACCTTTTTCAATCTAGACAATTATAATATCTGTAACAGAAGACATATTTGTTAACCCTTTTAATCAATTTGCAGGCACCTTTTCCCTTTTCAGCAATTATATAATTATAATTTCTGTAACAGAAGACATATTTGTTAAGCTTCTTAATCAATTTGCAGGCACCTTTTCCCTTTTTAGCTTCGTAAACTATACTATGCATGTATTAGGACTGTTACATATAATTTGGTAAACAACTAATGGCCTACTGGCAAAGAAGAAGAACAAAAAGACAACTCACGGCCAATACAACATGCCTGTGCTCATTCAATTCATCTATTCGATTAAAAAGGGGATTGAAACATAAATTAAAAAATTGGAGTATGACGCAGGATTGAAATAAGAGGAACCAACTTCTTGTGCCAGAGGCTCGTCGATGAATTCTGACAAGATATCCTGCAATCAGTCCAGAGGACGTCAAAAGAGCAAGCAATACCTCAATAAATAAAATTAAGGGAAGAATAAGAAGGCAAGGAAGTGGTAGGTACCCGCAAGGCATTTGGGCGAAAAAGTTTGACCCCATCATAATGGAAGACTGCAAAACCAGAGGGAGTCTCAAAGAGCACCAAGATTATACCGTTTGCCCCCAGCCACTTAGCTGTTGGGGGAAATAAAAGCAAAGCAAACTCAGACAAGCAGCAGGATCGTAGAGCATTCAGATTGATGTCAAACGTTAAGGCAGCAGTGGATTAGAGAGGCTGCAGGACTCCCGTTTTTTTTTAAAGAAACCGGCACAAGATCGTGCACATTTTCATTGCATATAGAAGAAGTCAATACTCCCTCCCGTATTAGTGGAATTTACTGTATATTGAGAGAGGGGGTGGAGGCGGGAGACTCGCCAAAATCGATGGACGACGACCCAGCGGGAGGAGGAGGAGGAGCAGGGACAGGAGCAGGGGCAAGACGACGACGATTCCTCTCTCGCTTTGCGCGTTTCCCCATCGAGGTCGAGATCCGGATTGTCCACCGACTCCCTGAGAAAGGCCTGAGAAGCCTGAAGTATGGTGTTCTGCCCAGTGATTAGGGCGTGAGTTGCGACTGCATCCCCAATTCCAGGCGCGCGACGGCGCGTTTCGAATGGAGGCAACACGTGCGGGGTTCCACGCCCACGGTCAGGCTCATTCCGAGGCCTCGGCCGGACTTTTTTTTTTCCTTTTGTCGTTTTTTTTACTACCATTTTTTTCTCAACTAATTGAATCCCTTTTTTCTTGTCTTTTTCCCGTTTCTTGTTTTTCTACCATTTTTTCTTTTTATTTTCCTTTTATATTAATTTATCATTTTTTTCTTCTATATACTATGAAAAAATGTAGATTTAGAAGTTTGTCTGGAACAATTTTTATGAAAACTTGTTGAACAACAAAAACATGTATAGAAATTAAGGGATATTCACATAGTATATATATGTCATGTTATGTGATGTATTTTGTATGTTCAGATAGTATATAAATAAGATGTTATATAATTATCTTCGAGTATTCACATAGAACACATAGTATACGTGTGATGTGTTCCATAATATATTTTAGGTTGTTCATCGAATAATATCATGTAATGTTCATTTAAAATTTTCTCTAGATTTTCTATTTTCTATTTTATATTTTTACTTTAGTTAAATAGTATGTTTTTTATTATTTATTATTTACCTTTTAGATTTTCTACAATTCCATGAGATATATATGATGTTCACATAGTATACATGCGATACTTTATGATATATTTTATGATGTTTATGTAGTATAAACAAGATGTTCCACAATTATTTTGAGTATTCGTATAGTACGCGCGTCATGAGATATTGTGTGGTATATTTTAGGTTACGAAACTTTTAAAAAATGGAAAGTTATGGAGTTTCCAAAAAAGGAAGTAAAAAAGAAGTCGTGATGAAAAATCGTGGCGATAAATTATATCACATAAAAAAGTTACGATAGTATGGACGTCCTGGATAAGCCCGAATGATGTCACTGCACCACTAATTGGATTCACGCGCATTGCAACATGTGCAACATCCGATCTACTTTGCGACATCCAGATAAAACACTTGCAACATAGGCCCGAAACAGACGAAGCACTTGCAACATACGTCTAAAATACTTGCAAAATACTAAAAACCATTTAAAAGTCATTGCAAGCATATGCAATATCCAGATAAACACCCTTGCAACTTACGTCTAAAAAACATATGAAACATTTGTAACAGGCGTCTGCAACATAAGTGTATAGCCATTGTAATATATGCAATATCTCGATCTACTTTTGCAACATTCATATAAAACACTTGAAACATACGCTTGCAACATGTCAAAGCGTGACACTCTAGTGGGCGGCGACCACCATGTCAGGCGCGTTGAGGAACTCGATAACCGTCTCGATGGGCAAATTGGGGCTGGGAGGCAGCAGAGCGAAAAGCACCACACAACTTGGCCACCGTGAGCTTCTTCCGCTTAGCCCTGGGCAAATTTAAACGAGAACTGAAAACCGAACCGAAAGAACCAGAACCGAAAATTTCGGTTCCTGATATTGAGGAACCGAAATAACCGAAGAAAATTCGGTTCCTACTCTCGGTTAACCGAATTAACCGAGAACCGAATTACATGAATTATACTTCACTTACTTGTATTTTGTAGGATTATGTTTGGTTTATGTGTAGTGTTTTATATTTGAACTGCTATATATTTGTGTTACTATATTGCTATTGTTTTCTTATATATTATTATTATTATTAAAAATGAATATAGTGTTGCATAAATTTGCCTTAGAACATGTATATTTATTATTGTCTTGAGGTCTTCTGAAAAAATTTGGTTAGAACCAGAACTGAACCGAAATAACCGAGAACCGAAATGCTCGGTTCTTAAAAAATTTTGGAACCGATCGATTCCCGTTTTCTAGGAACCAAATTTCATCAATAACCGAGGGAACCAAACCGAAACCGAACCGAGAACCGAATACCCACCCTGACTTCCGCTAGGGGGCACCAGAGCGTGAGGAGTCTCAAGGCGGGCGCGAAGTACGGCACGGCCATAACGCCCTTGCCATCTCTAGCCGCAGGAGGAGGTGATGAGTTGGACGCCGGCGCCGGCGCTGACGATGAGGGCAAGGGTGGGTAGGAGGCGTGACTCCAACAGCTCTAACAGGGGAGGCGAGCGAGGGCCCCGGGGCGGAGGAAGCGGAAGTGATCGCCGCCGCTGGCAGTGGCGGAGGCGGAGGGGGAACGGAGTTTGCGGCAGCGCGCGGGGCATACTGGAAGAGTCTTTTTGGAGGCGGCGTCCGGCAGCATTACCGAAAAAGTTATGCACATCATGTTGTATAACTTTGTAGCTTTCCAAAGATAGAAAGTTGTGGGGATAATTTTTCTAAAAACGAAAAGTTGCAAAGAAAAACCAGTTGATTAGTTGGCTCGCATTCCAACCATCTGGCGTTAAAGCTCGACAAAAGACTCACAGATCACTAGAGAAGAAGAATGAAACTATGTTCAGAACAAACCAACACTGCAGTAGAGAATTGCACACACCAGCATCCATCTTGTACTGTTGTTGTACAAACTCCGATTTGTATTTTGTTATTGCGCCCAAAATAGTCTAAGGGAGGATGATCTCGAAGTTTCAAAGGTTGGCATGCAGCACAACACCCTGTGTTACAACACTGGTACACTAGGAGAGGTCGCAGCCCGGCACTCTGGCGCTAGAGCAGATAAAATTACCGGTGTCCTCAGTTACTTTACTGGAATCAGTGCCTAAACTGGAGTACTAAGTCTGTAACTCTGACATTTATGGTGAGCAAGCATGAGCTTGTGAAATCCCCAGGCCACATGCATGTGCTGTGTTGTAGTATTAGCCGGATCGTCATCAGCTTACGGCAGCAACGTCTGTTGCCGGACTGGAGTCCATGAGCTGCCGGAGCTTGGGCTCGCCGTGCTCCGTGTGCCTGCTGACGCCCGCCGCCTTGGCGCTGTCGATCATGGAAAGGAAATTTTCCGCAGCGGCACGCGGAGATGGTTCTGCAGGGGTCGGTGTTGCAGTGTCCTTCAGCTTCACCTGAGAAGTGATAGTGCACTTCCGTTAAAGAAAGAAAAATTGAAATGCTGCGCTTGAATATAGTATAGAACATTTGATGTCATTGGAAAAGGTCCATTACCATTAGAGCAGAATTTTCAAATCTAAGCTTCTTCGAGCTCTCTGTTAGCCTGCCGATTTCAGACCTAAGGGACGTGTTCTCTGCAGTAAGGGACTCCACTTGTGTAGCCAACTCCTCTGTCTCAGCCTACACCAACAGAGAGCATAAATATAAGATTGAAGACATGTTGTTAGGACAATAATCCAAGTCAGATTTCACTTCCATCTTTCAGGACACTGCTTCATTGTGCAATTGTGTCACAAGTCACCCTGTCCAGTTAACAACAATGCATAAGATGGTGAAAACAGCACACCTGTTTTCTCAGCCTTGATCGTCTAGCAGACTCCCTATTTGACTGCTTCCTCTTTTCACGCTTTAATTCCCTCTCATCCTGCAATTGACAAACCACAAAATAGTTTGCCTAAACATGACAGGTTCTAAATATAGATATCAAGGTTTTAAGGAAAAAAACTCACAGAATTCAAAAATAACCTCTTAAAATTCAGTTATTCAGAATATCTTTTTGTCGTAACTGTCAATTTGCAACCAGTTCTACGCAATAAGAGATGGGACATACATACCTTGATTGATAAGTCAGATTGTACTGCAGTATGAGCTGGAACCATCACACCAGGTGATGGAGATATCGCTGTGCCTATCGCCCTCGAGTTAGCGACATTTGTAGGACTGGGCTTAATTACTGGAGCTGGAAAGCAGTGATGCGGCAAAATGGCAGCATTCCCCAGAGTATGGTTAGGAGCTAAAACACATTCCGTGTTTGCACCTGTGGTGGTTTCTGCGCCTGCAAATATATTTTGGTTAGTCATTGTCTTGCCTGTTCTGGTGTTGTGGTGCATAGAACACGGAAAGGTTTTGTGCAACTATTTGTCAAAAGGAAAAAAATGCAAGCAAGACCACCGAAGAAGGCATAGTAGAAGAGAACAAGATGACCAATTTGACAAAAATGACTGATTTTATGAGGTAACACCTCTGCCTCTAACAAGTATTGTGGAGAAGTAGTGACTAGCACGGTATCTATCTATAAACATGGAAATAGTTGTTAGAGAAGTAAAATACCGGGTCCATCATCTGAGCTCCGCTTCCTGGACGTTTTGTTCACCTAAATTATGCAAAAGTTCAGTGTAATGATGAATAACCCCGCAATCCCAGGGACCCAACACTTCAAAAAAAACATTTCAAACATATCTATGATTGCGCAGAAGACCATACTTTCTGATCATTTACATCGCTGGAGCCCTCTGCACTGTAATCTTCACTGAATACATAATCAGAAGTATATAGCTTCAGTTTACCAAAACAGAAACAGGAGAGAGGGGGGGTGAGGACAGTAAAAAAAATCCACAAACAGAAGCAAAATTCATGCCATACCTGGATGACATTGTTCTTTTACTGTTACCACTGCCAGCAGACACTGCAGTCCGATCTATTTCCTTAAGTTTCTTATTGGAATTTTTCTCCTTGCTATTTGCAGATTTGGCTGGCTCCACGCTCAATGGAGTTGACATCTTGAAAGCAGCATGAGAACATCAAATTAATAACAGTGAACAGAATGAAAAACTTTGAAAATGAATTAACTATTTTTTGTAATTAAGACAATGATGAACATAAGAACTTTCGATGGAATATGAAGTAAAGGAGATGAGTAAATTGTCCAAGGGCATGGTCAAGTGTAAATGTGAAATAGAGCTAGATGCACAGTGCAGATCCTTTGTTGTGATGAGCTACAAAAGTACAGGTTATGGAAAACACTCTACAGGATATGAAATCAATGGTGAACTAAAGACCAAAGAGAGTATATAAGTTGTCCAACTATAAATCGAGTTTTATTTTCCATTTTCTACATTGGATGTGTTTGGGTTTTTGAGACTCAACATGATGGAACCGACTAATCCCTGTTTTCATTTTACACTATAATATCTTAATTAATACACAGCTGACCATAACAAGCATCTCACTCTATCTCTATCTTTCTTTGAAAAAATGTCGATGGACACATATGATGTGATTAATTAAACAAAAAAATGTCCATAGGCATCATTACCATGGGCACAAAGGGGTGTGGGTAAGCTCCACCATGTGGGTACACTGCAGCATATGGTGTCCCGAAAGGGGGTGGCATTATAGGCTGCAGAGACACAGAGAAGGGAAATTAGATTTTACTACAGTATTTGAAACAGCATGGGATATGGAGATCAAGCTCAAATACCTGAGGACCCCACATATATGGCGGTGGATGACCTGGAGCTATTGCTGGAGCAAAATATGTTGGTGGCAAGACACCAGGGCCATAATATGCCTGTGAACATTTGTGCTTACTGCTTAGATCATCATGTTCCAACGAAGTAGGAGTGCAGCAAAATACCCAAACTCTACCTGCATGGTCGACCAATCAGGATATGGAGAAGGAGTGGGATAATCCTGCAAATAGAAATAATCGATGAGACATTAGACAGTAAATAGTCGGACAAAATCCCAGTCAATAAATTGTTTTATCATTCCTTGTAAGATCTCAAGACAGCAATAAACATGTGAATGAGCAGGCAAGATTCTTTATACATGTCATGTTGACAGATTAAGAACACATGCAAATCTGAAGGGAGGTGGTTCAGTTATGTCTACATGAGTTGGCTTCGAAATTTGAACAAAAATCATGCTTAACAGATGGGCTAAGCAGTCAGCACTACTGAATCATAATTTAGAAACAATGCTACTACCAAATCAGAAATGATTACCTTAGAAGGGGATGCTGTATTTCCAGTCTTCTGGGCCACAGCTTCATCCTGAGCCATGACAATATCTGCAAGTCTGTCATGTAAAACTTCAGATTATCACAACATGCAATTTAATCATGTTTCAATGATATAATACAAAAACATACAGAAATATAGTTTAGACAGCAAAAATAATACTAAAAATACTAAATGATCTTAAAAGTAAATATCCTTTTCACCCCTACTTGAAGCCTTTGACGTGTGCAGTGAAATCCTATGTTCTGGTTGAACACTTGAAACCAGATTGGTCCTCTGTTATCTGAAATAAGATCTGAACTGAAGCCTTTTCTACGACCCAACTAGATCTTTTCACACAAAAGGTGACAGAGATACTAACAAACTTATGAGAATTTGGGTTTAACATCTTGATGCAGAATTATCGAAAATGGAAATAATTGGCTGCTCTTTCTCCATAAGTTACCCACAGAGAGTTCACAGGACAAAAGCAACCTCTTCACCCAGGAAATAAGCTAAGGATGCATACAAAGCGTAAGATGAAAGCCTTCCTAACCAACTTCAACCAGACGCAGCCGAGTGATTCAACGACTGCAGCTGGGATACACCTAATTTTTCTGACAAATATACAGCGGCCCTGCTGACTCTACGATGCTGCACTCAAAAGATTAAAAAATAAAAATTAATACTTTCTACTAGGCTATAGCTGACAAACTGTGTCGCGATTTTAAACATGTGCAGCTGGGATCAATGCATCATGCACCAGCTCTCAGGGTCTCCATGACGAACATGTGCATAAATAATCTCCACGCATGAGCTACTTCAATATAGACGACGAGGCTAAGCCAAATAACAAGATGCAACTCAATGTTGCGATGGGACAGCGCGAGCATGAACCTAGCAGGGAGGCAGGAGAAATCAACGAGCATTGCGCGCCGAATTGGAACGGAGCCATCTCACCTCGCCAAATCAGGTGGTGGTTCCGCTCGGCAGCGAGGCGCCACGGATCAGCCGGAGTCGCGAGGCCAAATTGATCCAGGAGATGCGTGTAGCGCGAAGAGAGAGAGAGAGAGACCGTGAGGGGGCAGGTGGTGCGCCAGGAGAGAGGCGGCGAGGCAGGGGAGTGGGGGAGAGAGGAGAGGAGGAAGGGGACGAGGAGAGGGCGCCAAAGGCTGGAGCCACGTCACGAGACCCGTGTCAATGATAAGGACTGGGCCACTGGATCGTGTCCGCCTGGGATACCTGCTACAAGCACCTTGGATTGCGTCCCACAGATTTGCACGGTCCCACTTGGTTCTTGATAGCATCAGATTTTTTTTCTTCCGAAGAAGAGTACAGTATATGTATAAGTGCAAATGATGAAAGATAAAAGGCAATATTCACTAAACATAGAGTTGGGCTAAAAAGAACAAAGCCTTTTGTTCCATAAATATATATTGTACTAATCTTGTTTATAAATATATATTGTACTAATCTTGTTTATATCATTTTTCCCCCCAAATACTTCTTTACGGCCGCGCATGCTGTTGCGACTTTGCATGCATATCCAATCCACCGTTGATTTTTATTCTTCCTCCACATCGACCGCCCACGTCGATGGGATTATTGCTACTGTGCGGTTAGGGCGTTCAGCCTTCCATCCACAAGGTGGGCCCATTCATTAACACAGTTTCGTTATCCACTGATGCTCGTCTCCGCATTCTCTCTCTGGCACCCGTTCTCTCCTCTCGTTAGTCTTGTAATCTCATCTAAGATCGGGGAACGGCGGATGAGAACATCAGCGATGCCGGAGTTGACCTGTGGTGCTGCGGACGTTGATCAGGTTTTGCCAAAAAGAAAAGACTGTGCAGTCGGATGGCACTAAATTGCACGTCCGTGATATAGTAAAGTTCTTTTTTTTACAAATATACATATGCATCCGTGTCTCAACTGGACACGCAACCACCACCTCTTATCCTACACCATTGATTGGTAATCCTAGTCGTCAACCTTTTTTACACATGCATGTTCTTTTTCACCTAGATTTTTTTTGTCCATGACTCTGTCTAAGATCTTGTTATCTTGTGGCAAGTCATCCAAAGCCTTGTCATGACCATCGTTCCTCTAGGTTTGTCATTCGTCATTCGTCAAGGACTAAAGAGTGATAAAGACCTTGAAAACTCGAAAGCCTAATTCTTTATAATCTTTAAATCCGATAGCAATGTATTATGGGCACAATAAATAGTCTCAAAAAGTCGAAATAAACTTTCCTTGCAATAAAGCCAAAGAGCCTAGAGTGGTGTACGTTTCGGAGGTGTACTTTGGATAATCGTTGGAGATTGCCAATCCTGCAAGTGGAGGCTGAGGATGAGCTGGGCGACGGGTGCGAGGGCCCATTTGTTTATTCCTCGTCACCCCACCATGAGCGTACCACACGCTAACGTGTCGACCACCTCGCCGTCGGTGGCCGGCTTTACATCCCAGTCATGTGGGTGACGTGGTGGCCGCATCCGGCGTGGGCCCCGCGGCCGGAATAAAATACCTTTCCGAGACCAGGAATACAAATATTCCGAGACGACGAAAAATGGATTCTTCTCCGCTTTTTTCACGCGCACGAGGACTGTACCTTCTCCGGTCGCGGGACCCAGCCCCGCACGGGCCCACAGGTCGGCCTTTGCTGGGAGGCAAAGCCGCAAACGCGAACGTGCACGTCAACGCGCCACGTCGAAGCCCATGTGCGCCTGCGTAGGAGTCAGGAGCCGATTGAGCCACGTAGCCCGCAGTACCGTTGCCGTGGGCCCCGCGGGAGCAAGGAGACGGCACTGACTAGGTGCCAGCTCAGGGGACATAGCTTATGTGCCAAACATGGCTTTATTATTAGGCTGTGTTTAGTTGGGTAAAATTTAAAAATTTAGTTATGGTAGCATTTTTGTTTTTATTGGCAATTAGTGTTTAATTATAGACTAATTAGGCTCAAAACGTTTGTATCGTGATTTTCAACCAAACTGTGAAATTAGTTTTTTTGTCTACATTTAATACTCTATGCACGTATCGTAAGATTCGATGTGATAGCTACTGTAGCACTTTTTAGTAATTTGGTTTTAGGGGGTGTTTAGTTCACCCCAAAATCCAAACTTTGGCACTATGCAAAAAGAAGATTCCTCGTCACATCAAATTTGCGGTACATGCATGGAGTACTAAATGTTGACGAAATAAAAAATTAATTGCACAGTTTAGTTGTACTTTGCGAGACGAACGTTTTGAGTCTAATTAGTCAACGATTGGACAATTAGTACCAAATACAAACGAACGCTACAGTACCGCTACAGTACATTTGACGGCGCCGATTCAGACAACTAAGCGAGGCCTTAGAACTAAACGTGGTCTTATCCTGACTTGGGAGGCGGATGGGTGATCCCACGTGGGTTGGTTGCATTGGACCAATGCCTCATATCGCTTCGTGTACTCCTCCTTCGTCCCCATTTCCGCACCGTGTGGATGCTTGTAGCAATTAGTACTAGCATGTTTAGTTGCTTGTTAGTACTTGCTTACTTGTCCACGTTCAAGTATGGGACATTGGGACTTCTATTTCCATTGATGAAGTTTACTAGTTTAGGATCGAACGCACCCATCAATAGTTTTTGTAATTTAACATGACATCCATTGCATCCTTAGAAGGGTTCCTTGCTCATGAAGAAGGTCCTCAAATTTCACAACAAAAAACTGTTACTCGCTGATATAGTGATATCACAGGACCAAAGTGCTTTCAAGTTTCAACTCACAGTTTTGCAACAATTCAGCCCCCACACCCTGTGGTAGAACACACTCGACTACCAAGAGTCCAAGAGTGTGGGTGAACAACACTCAAGCATCAAAAGAGTGAATTAAGCTCTAATGAATAAGAATTTCATGTTCGGAAAAAAGTACATGTCAGGAGGTATTTATAGAGGGGGAGTCTTGATAATCCTATTGCAATTCCCCTTTTGCCCCCAATTCGATTATTACATACGACTTCGGTCTTCTCTATTTTGAAATGCATTTTTGGTCACTACATGGTTGGAACAGAACTTATACTTCGCCTATTTGTCTTCGTTAGGCAAAACGAGTATTCGGGATGAGTCTTCCTAAGCCTGAATCAAGCTAGCTTCGTTCCATTCACCTTCGACTACGCTCCATCCCAAAGTAGGTTGAACATCTACGGTTCTCCGCCTCTGACTTCATCACTTTGCTCTTGGTTTTGCCCTCGTTTTGGCTTCGTCGAATATCTTTGAAGGTTCTTCTTTAATTAAACAATGTGGAGCCCTTCGTGTACAACGAGGGCAATTTGCAACTTAAGATAACATGTTAGTCAAAGCTTGTTAATTAGTTTTAGGGATTGTGTTGTCCGAGATTGAATCCTCCACAAACAACAACTTGTAATTACATAGTATATAAAACTATTGGTTATTAATATTGTAATTTGGCACCATTTTTTCTACTATAGTCTATATGCTGTTTATTACGCTATATATCAATGTATGTATATATGTATGCATTAATCTGCATCTGGTCAGTGCTACTACCTCGTCTCTGATCCCTCCAGTCTCGTGTGCCACTGTCCAAGATATATATGAAACCTCGCATCACGTTTCCTGTGGCCCCCAGCCTTTCAGTTTCAGTGCAGCTTTGCTACGCAAACTTACACAAGGCACACGTGCTTAGGGAAGGAGAATTGGCTCTCCATTGAAATAAGAAGAGATCTTCAAACAAACTAAGCCAAAAAAAAAGAGGAGCACGCATCTCTTTGTTTTTTTTCTCGATCATGTAAAAGATTTACGCGTTTTTGTATTAAGTGGGAAGAAATTTTATTACATGTGGGGGGGGGGGGGGTTTCTTTTAGATTTGCAACAAGCATAAGCTCACCCCAAAGATACATTTGACTATTGTGTATCTACTACTCGCTGAAGAAGACAACTAGCAGACTGTTCGTTTGGTTGTATTTGGCTTATAAGTCATGACTTATCAGCCAACGAACAATATTTTTCCCTCACACCAAACCAGCCAACAGTACTTTCAGTCATGGCTTATAAGCTAAACCAGCCCAAATAAACATGGCTTAGGTTATTCGCGCCGGCTTGCACCCACAACTCTACTTCGTGCTTGATGAGTTTGAGCAGATCGACCACCTGGGTGGTTGCTCCGCGGAAGCACCTTGCATTCCTTTCTTCCCAAAGTTCCCAAGCAACCAGCGTGAAGATTGAATTAGCGCCTCGGTGACACTGTCCTGTCCACTGCTCTCTCCAAACATTCCAGCAGTCAAGAGTGGAGTTGGCATGTGCTAGTTGGTGTGTTTCTCGCAGCGCTGATCGAATGCACCACCAGACTTGCTTGGAGTAGGAGCAATTTACAATGATATGGTCAATGGACTCCGGTTCTTAGTAGCATAGGAAACAGCTGTCCTGCGTTTGTAGGCCATGTCGCCTCCGCCGGTCTGCTGTCCAATGACGCCCCCTGAGGGCAAGCCAAAGGAATAGTTGTCCACTGATCTTGCTGGGCAAAGGCTAGACAAGGGTCGATAAAGAGAAACCAAATTATGTTTTACCAAAATTTGCCTTCCACCGTCACCTGGGGCCGGCCACTGGGAAAGAGCACCGGTACGCGAGTCTAGAATTTACCTGTTCCATTTTGTCTAAGAATAGCCGTATTGGAGAGACAAAAATACGATAGTGAAAAGTTGTTTCGGGCGATGCTTTCATACTACTAGAACAACACCCCACTTGTTCATGTAGGAACTACTAATTTGGAATAAAATTTAATTATTTATATAATTCTTAGGAAAAGATTAATTATTATAAACTAATGTTAGTGGATAGCATCACACTTATGTGGATAACTAAATGCATGTTAGTGGATGATGTATTTCGTTGACATCTAATTGCTTGTGCTAGTGAACTTTAATTGCAAGTGATAGTGGACTGCTGAGGTGGACATCTTGCATTTATAAGAGTATATGACTAGTATTTTGATTGTGAATATTTAGGGCCTCTCACTCAGATTTCACACGAATCACTTCTATTTTCATTGGAAAAAACGCAGGAATGAAAAAAAAACCAAAGTTCTAAGGAGGCCTTACATTGGATGTTTTCTTAAAAAAAAAAATCTAAACAAGCTCTATTCTCCCAATATTGTTTTTTTAACAAGACCACACTGTCTAAGATAAGATGACACTCACTCAAATCTTTTCTCAAGGACTTGTGGTAACATTAGCATGACAAAATATCAACCCAAGTTTTTAAAACCCATCATATAGGCATATAGCAAAAAAGGTAAGGCAGGCCAACACAATTTTTTTTACATAAATGAGCAAGTTTCTGCTCAAGGGGAAATTTCATTTCGACGCCAACAAACCAAACGCATGTCACCCGGAGTCATCCAAAATTTCCAGCCTAGTCAGAGATTGTAGCTCATGAATATTATTTTTCGACACAAGCTAGGGTAGTATGCAGATCACTGGAACGATTGGCATCGTGCCACTTCTTCAGTGTCAGCAAATCCTAACTCTGAGCCCCTTGGTTGTGTATTAAGGTCCTCCAAGTATGGCGTTCTCGATGTCTTCTCTGCTTAGGGCATAGCTAAACCTTCTCTCCACATCCTTCTCAAGATTTCCAGGTCCGCTTTTCAAGTACCTAATTGAAGATAACATTAGCAATTTTGCCTTCAACTGACACAAAAATGAGTAATCGATTCATATTAACAGTGATTTGTGACTCTGTTAGTTCTTGCAACTCAAGAGTAGCTGAAAAGGGTAGGACAGTGATACAGTGAAGAAATCTTCAGAACTATTAGATGAACAGTCCTTCATTCCTCCTTAACAAAATAATATACTGAAATCCTAGCTGAACAAGTTGCAACGTGCATGTACAGAAGAACGAAACCCACAAACCGCAGGTTCATTCCACACGCTCACATAAGCCGATCGAGCAAGCTAAAACGCAGGAGCATTTTGGTCAAACTACGAGCATGAATTGAATCCCCAAGCAAGCTAGCACAAACTGACATACAGTACCTGATGTGGAGGTCGGTGACGTCGAGGCTGAGACGCGCGTGCCAGAGCGGCTTCTCGGCGACCCAGACGGCGGGGTCCTCGCGGGACTGCGTGAACCCGAGGCTGCGCAGCCACGCCTCGATGCACGGCAGGCTGTGCGTGTACAGCGGCTTCTTCTTCTCCGGCAGCCGCTCCAGCCACTGCGCGTCTGACGGCAGCGCCGCCGCCAGTGCCACGACCCCCGCACCTCTCCCCGGTCGACCGCGCGCGCGGGGTGCCGGGGCCGCCGCGGCCCCGCTCGGGCGAGCGGAAGGGAGGGCCGGCGGGATCAGGGCCACCAGGGCACGGAGCGAGCTCGAGAGGGCCATGGGCATGAACGATTGCTGCTGCTCCTTTCTTCTCCCCCTCCTTTACCTTATCCATCTGTTGGGCTGTCATTTATGGGCCTAATTGTCCGGAGCCTCCCGGCCCATAAACTGTGGGAGGGCAGTCCACGGAGCGGAACCAAAGCGCGGGAAAATCCGCCCCGAAATAGCGCGCGGCGGCGGGAAAATCTCCATTCTCATCTGCATCCCGGAACCGATCTCGCCGCCGCTCCCCCACTTGGATTCACTCTCTTCTCTCATCCTCCGTCGCGCAGCTACCCTTCTTCCCCTCTTTCGCCTCCGCTCCGCATCCATCCGACCGTGGCGAGCTCCAACTGCGCGCACGGACCAGGCGGCTAAACCCTAGCGCGCGCCGCCATGGACTCGGTGGTGCTCTCACTTACCTGCGCGGGCCTCGGCGCCTCGCAGGAGGACGAGGACGGCGCCGTCATCGGCTACGCCAAGAGCGACCACTGCCTAGGTACCCCCGCTCCCTTCCCGCTTCCTGCGCTTCTTCGGCGACGGCTTGGGTTTGACCCCATTTCTGATCGGCGGATGTGTTTGCTGACTAATTTCTGCTGTGCGTGCGTTTTCGCCATTTCTGTAGATAATCTGAAGGACCTGCAGAGATTCCTGAGGCGGGACGACCCGCAGCGGCGGGAGGTTTTCAAGCAGGTCTGCAAGTGGAAGATTGCGTCGAGGGATCTGGTGCCCATCATCGAGAATTACCAGACCGACCGCAATCTGGTCATCACTGCAGGTAATTGTTCTTCCATTTTGATTCCTTGAAATCTGAAAGTTCTGTGTATGGGCTTTCAATGTGAATAGGATCTCCGATAAACACTGTATCTTTGTTCCCCACTAATATAGCTCTGAAACTACGTATTCGAATACCTTTATTTTAAACTAATGATGCTCTGATGTAGCGCCCAATGACTAAGCCTTCCCCACTTGTTTTTGTATCGTAGTGAAAGTATTGGTGTTCCTTACGATGCCTGTGGAGCCCTCGTCAGAGGATGTTCCACAGCAGATAGAGTATCTGTGGGATTTGAAGGCTGCACTGACACGCAATGTTGCAGTGACTGTCATTGTGTCTCTTCTTGAGGACCCATTGGATCGCTTGGAAAGGTGAATCTATTCTCTTGTTTTTATCATGGAGCTCACACAACTGACTAACTGAGCACACTGTTGTTCATGAGGATCATAGAACACTGTTACATAGTTAATCTTTATATCTTCTAATCTTTATATCTTCTAATATAGCCTGGTGCAAACATATTTTTTCCCAAAAGGCCCACATTATGAGCTACTGCCTGATACAGTTGGAAAGAGCAAGGTCAATATGAGTAACCTGCTGCAAGCTCTTGGAGGTTGCAGTAAATTTTTTTTACCCCTGTTGCACTTGTCTACCAAAACATCTCCAAGACCAAGCTGATTGTATTCAACAAGGGTAGTGTAGATGCAAAACAGAGAACTCGATAATTTCAGGACTATTTCTTCAGAGTTGTGCCCCCTGTTTATCTATTTTTTTCTTGAGTGATCATTACTAATCTTAAGCATTTGTGGCCCAGAGGCTTTCAATTAAATCAGTTTGCAGACCAATTAAGTTTCTATGTTATAGTTTCTGAGAACACTTTTAACATTTGTCCCTAGGAATGCAATGCTAAACTGAAACAACTGTTCTTTTTTCCCTCTACTTGCCCAAGGGCCAGCCCTTTTACAATGAAAGTGGTGATGGAATTTGAATGAGAAATTAAATCTTCAACTAGATGGATTTGTATTAACTTTGAGCTTTACATGAATTAATCAATCAAATACGGTTATATTCTGTTTCACAAGATTTTTTTTCACATCATTCGACCAACATTCCAAGCATATTGTTTTTGTGGATTCCATTTGGCAATCGGATGACAGAAAGGTGATAAGTTTCAGTGAGATTTTACTTGTGCCATTGCCTTATCAGCAAAACTAAACGTGGTGTTTGTGCTATACATGTTAATTTATCAGCATGGTTCTTCCACTATCTTCACCTGCCTCTATGCTCATTAAAAATCCTATTTGGAGACTGGTCTATATATATATCCTCTTCCCAAAGGGCAGAAGTAAAAGTTTTATTTGATTCACTACCATTATTACTCCATTCTGTTCCCATTTATATTATGCTATTTACTAGTTTTAAACGCTATAAGTATATATTCTTGATCATAGTGACTTCAGCTGACATGATTTTCTATTCAATAACAATCAGAACTTTATTCTCAGAAGATGACTGGAAGTTAGTTCAGTTGGTGCTTACTTTGTTCCGCAACGTCTTGGCTATTCAAGAAATCACATTGACACAGAAAGCATCTGGAGAAGCTACCCACTTACTCTTCCTGGCTGACAGCTTTTTGGAGCTCATGTTCCAAGAGAATGTGATAGACATAATCTTAGTTTTGACTCAGCATATTGATGAGCCCTCTGGTTATCTTAAGGAGGAAAACCTTCTTTTAATGGAGATCTATCATTATCTCTTCTTAGGCCGAGACCCAGGACTGATTGCCCGAGCTTCTAATAAAGGTTCAAAGGTATTCCTTCTTTTTGTTCTTTTCTTTTCATTTTGTGAGTACTATTCTGTATTTTGGATGCCCTTTTTTCTGTCAACTATCAGTGGAAAAAGCTCAAATTTGTTTACTCCATTGATACTCTATAGGATCAGGTTAAGCGGAGATATTGTTTCATCAGTTGATTCATTGAGATTGATGATGGAGGAGGAAGAAAGGAAAAAAAGAATGTTCAGGCAACGGAACTCCGAACATAGCTCACTTAGTGGGACTTTTACGTGCTTTTCAGTGGTACTACACATTTTGAATTCTACCAACTGGTTCCTACATCATAACCAGATAATCAGATGTACTTGTCTCTGCTTGCATTTGAACTTACAGGATGGATCTAAATCATTGTGCAAAGGGAACCCAAGCTCTGCATCTGCAAATAGCCTCTTGAAAATACGTAATGACCAAAGAGGTCCTCAGAAAAGGATAGCCTGGGACAATGAACTTCTGTACATACCAAAGGAGGGTATTACAGAAATGCTTAGAAGCTTCATGGATCAATTTTTATCTGGAGCATACAATAGTAAGTTTGTCTCATTTCCATTTAACAGAACCATTATGTTTTGTTCATGTAATCTTGAGATAACGCGGTTCTTATCAGTCCTGATGCAGTCAGTTTGTGATGATATCATGGATGAGCACCACTCTATTGAGAAATCTGATATAATTACATTCTTCAAAGTTGCTCGATTTGTTCTAGCTTTTCAACATGAGAAGGCTTCAAATGATCAGGTCCGGAACAGAACTCATGGGCTGTTTATTCTTCATTCACTTATGATTTATGAATGTTTTTATGTGCTATCATGGAGATTCTTGTCTCATTTCACTCTTTGTCCAACAAGGATGACTTGAATTGCCAAGAGGCACACTTACATAACTGATTTCTATTTGCTACTGGACTACATGAAACTTAAGCTGCAGTTAGTTACATCTTTGGCTTATTTGTCATGAATATCATAACTATGTCTTGTTAGATATAGATGTATATGTGTCTTTGCTATTTCCTCTTTGTGTAAGGGCTTCTATGCATATTTGCCCATGTACATGTTTGGGCTGAAGCCCACCGTAATGCACTGAGTTCATTCACTCCTAACATGGTATCCAGAGCCGGTGTCTAGGTTTACCTCGCTGCCGTTAAGCGTCATCGGCATCGTTGCCGCCATGAAGTGCCTCTGCTTTGCTCCTCCGTGCGCCACATCGCTTCGTTTCACGCTTCGTCCATGGCATCATCCGTGACGTCGTCGCCTTTGCCATTTGGCACTGCCGGGCGGCAGCAGTCTTCGCGTGTGCCCGCCTCCGACTGCTGCCGGTGTCATGACCTCCGGTGGACGCCAGCCTCTCCTGGCTGCCGCTGCTTCCCACGCCGGGCGCTGGCCCCTCTGAAAGCCGCCCTGCTCGCTTCGCCAGCGCTGCCCTCTCTCTGCTCTCGCCGTTGAAGCCGCCCGCTCGCTCGCCCCGGTATGCCCTCCACTCTGCTTTCGCCGCCCTGCTCGCGCCCTCTCGCTTCGCCGCCCAGCAGCGGGCCTGCCTCCACTCACTCTGCCGCCCGCCTGCTGCCTCTGCTCTCGCCTTGCCTGCAGTGGCTTCGCCCTCCACTCTGCTGCCGCCCACCACCTTTTAGGCGCTGCTCTCGCTCTGCTTCTCTTTTGGAGCAGAGGAGCGCTCTGCTGCTCTTTTTCTCTTGGAGCAGAGGAGAGCTCCGTCCCCCGGTTCTCTTTGCACTCTGAACTAGGATGGCTTGAGTTCAGATCCTCAACTGATGTCGGGTCTGCCTTTCTCGGTCTTATGGGGTTAGATTCCACGATGTCCATAATCTTCAATGGCACTAATTATCGTGTTTGGGTTTCTCGCATGCGTTGGCATATGCGTGGTCTACGGCTTTGGGGTTTTCTCTTTGGTGAACTGCTGGTGTCCACCTTTTACCCACTCCTCTGTGTGACCAGTCTTTCCTCCCGCAACTTCAGACGATGATAAGAAGAAATTGCATGATGAATATAATGATGATATGGCCTCATACATGTCTCTGGATTTGCAGCATATCGGACTTGGTTGGATGAGGATGCTCGTGCAGTCTTTGTTCTAACCTGCTAGCATGGAGGAACATTTGATCGCCAATATTATAGAGCTTGACTATGCTTCTCAGATGTGGGCTTTTTTCACTGGCGTTATGAGCCCTGGTGGATCCACATACCTTGCGGCTTTACACCAAGAGCAGTTGTTGCAACAGGGTGATGCTACAATTGAGGAGTTCTTTAACCAGCTCTCTAGTGTGTGGCGTGAGCTTGACACTCTGAGTCCTCACTGTCCCCCGCCACTTGTGAGTCCCAGGAAGCAAAAGAGCCACCTTGAGCTTGGCGCATCTCACGATTTTTCGACTCTGTCTTCGTGCTGAATTGAGCCTCTTCGTGCCTGGGATTATTACAGCTCGTGAACCCCTGTGTGTCCCCGATGGATGCTCTTGCTGCTGTTCGGAATGAAGAGATCCGTCTTCGTTCTGCTAGCTTGCTGTAGTCAGCTGCCTTGTCAGTGCTGGCTGTTCGCTCTGCACCTTCTGGACGTCCTACACCCCTCCCTACAACACCTTTGTCGGTGGTGTCCTATGGGAGTGGTAAATTGGTGGACTTCATTGCAACCATCTTGTGAAAAAAGATGGACATGTTGAAGATTATTGTTATAAGAAGAAGAAGAAGGAGAAGGCTCATTCACGCCGAGGTGGTCGTTCCTCATGTGGTTACGATCGTTCTCTTCTGGACCCTCTTCAAGTAGCTTATTGGTTTCGAGACATTGGAGAGATACTTATGTTGCTTTTGTCGGCTAGCTCCCTCTGTACTCTTTGGAGTGCTAGTTCTGTCACCCCAGTCTCTGCACCTTTGGTTTCTGCTGCTGCCTCACAATCTTCCACTGGGGAACCACCGTTCACTTCAGGTACTTTGCCATGGATTCTTGATTCTGGTGCTTCTTTTCACATGACCTCTGATTGTACCAGTCTTTCTTCCATTCGTCCTTCTTCTACTCCTATCACTGTTCAGACCGCCGACGGTTCAACTCTCCCTGTTCTTGGACATGGCACTCTTTTGTCCTCCTCTTTTCATGTTCCTACTGTTTCATATGTCCCTAATTTGACCATGCAACTTATTTCTGCTGGCCAGCTCACTGATCATGGTTGTCGTGTTATTTTTTATTCTGACTCTTGTCGTGTCCAGGATCTCAGCACGGGTCTCTTGGTTGGTACTGGCCCTCGCCGCCGTGATTCTCAGCGTCTTTGGGAACTTGACTGGCTTCGTCTTCCTTCCGCTGCCTCTGCCAGTCTTGTGGGCTCTGCTTCTCCTGCATCGGATTCTTCATCTTTTGCTCAGTGGCATCATCAATTGGGACATTTATGTGGTTCCCGGTTATCCACTCTTGTCCGTCGTGGTCTTTTGGGGAATGTTTCTAGTAATGTTTCTTTAGATCAGTGTCAGGGTTGTAAGCTTGGCAAACAGCTCCAACTTCCATATCCCTCTAGTGGATCAGTGTCACAGCGTCCCTTTGACCTTGTTCATTCCGATGTATGGGGTCCCTGCACCTTCGTTTCAAAAGGGGTCATCAATATTATGTCATATTTATAGATGATTTTCTCGCTTCACATGGGTGTATTTCATGAAACATCTTAATGAGGTGTTATCCATATATAAGATATTTGCTCAGATGATTCAGTACTCAATTTGACACTCCTATTCGTGTTTTTCGTGGCCGACTCTATTGGGAGTATCTCTAAAGGCGCTCTTCGCCAATTTCTTTCTGAACAGGGCACTCTTTCTCAGTTTTCTTGTCCTGGTGCGCACACTCAGAATGGTGTTGCTGAGCGTAAACATCGCCACCTTCTTGAAACTGCTCGTGCTCTTATGATTGCTTCCTCTGTTCCACCTCATTTTTGGGCTGATGCGATATCCACTGCCACTTATTTAACTAACATTCAGCCTTCATTTGCTCTTCAAGGCGGAATCCCATATGAGCGCCTCTGTGGCAAGCCACCAGATTACTCCAGTCTTCGCCTTTTTGGGTGTCTTTGCTATGTCCTTCTTGCTCCTCGTGAACGCACTAAGCTGACATCTCAATCTGTTGAGTGTGTTTTCCTGGGCTATAGTGCTGAACACAAGGGATATCGTTGTTGGGACCCTGTTGCTCGTCGTCTGCGGATTTCTCGGGACGTTACTTTTGACGAGTCTCGCTCATTCTATCCTCGGCCTACCTCTGATGTTTCTCCCCAAACCGTTGTTGAGCCTCTTTCCTTCTTGATCTTTCCTGATACACCTATCTCCACTGTGTTTCTTCCTCCTCCACCATCTCCTCTTGCACCCTCTCCTTCGCCGCCTTCTCAGCCGCCTTCACATGTTCCTTTTAGGTCCATTTATGATTCCAAACCCCCTGTGATTCACACCTCGGCTGCCGCCTCCAGAATCCTCGCCTCCTGCCTTGAGGCGTCTCTCGATGTTTCACCTCCGATTGAGACATCTTGGTTTATGGATATTTCCTCTCAGCCATCCTCTCGTTATGATCTTCGTGATCGTGGGTCGCTAAAGCCTACAAACCGGTATGGTTTTTGGCACCGTTCTTCTCTCGAGAGCCGCCACATACTATGATGCCATTTGTCATCCGAATGGCAACATGCCATGGTCGAGGAGATTGTTGCTCTAGAGAAGACCGACACTTGGGATCTTGTTCCTCTTCCTTCATGCTGCTCGTCCCATCACGTGTAAGTGGGTTTATAAGATTAAGACTCGCTCAGATGGCTCTCTCGAGCGTTATAAGGCTGATCTTGTTGCTCGTGGTTTTCAACAGAGCATGGTCGTGACTATGATGAGACTTTTGCTCCTGTGGCTCACATGACCACTATTCGCACTCTCCTTGCTGTGGCCTCTGTTTGTGCCTGGTCCATTTCTCAACTCGATGTCAAAAATGCCTTTCTTAATGGTGAACTCCATGAGGAGGTCTACATGCGACCACCTCCTAGGTATCTTGTTCCTGATGGCAACGTTTGTCGTCTTCGTCGCTCTCTTTATGGGTGAAACAAGCTCCTCGCGCTTGGTTTCAGTTTTTTTTCCTCTGTGATGATCACAACTGTTGGTTTTTCTCCGAGTGCTCATGACCCTGCCTTGTTTGTTCATAATTCATCTCGTGGCCGCACTCTTCTTCTTCTTTATGTTGATGATATGCTCATCACTGGTGATGATTCTGAGTATATTGCATTTGTGAAGGCACGTCTCAGTGAGCAGTTTCTCATGTCCGATCTTGGCCCTCTGCGTTACTTTCTTGGGATTGAGGTCTCTTCAACCTCTCGATGGCATTTATCGTCCCAAGAAAAGTACATTCAAGATCTTCTTGATCGTTCTTCCCTCACTGATCATCGCACTGTTGAGACTCCCATAGAGCTTAATCTTCATCTTCGCACAACTGATGGTGAACCTCTCACTGATCCCACTCGATATCGTCATATTGTTGGGAGTCTTGTCTATTTAGGTGTGACTAATTCTCGACATTTCATATGTTTGTGCACATTCTTAGTCGCTTTGTTTCGCTCCCACTCACCTCCACTATAGTCATCTTCTTGTGTCTTGCGTTACCTTCGTGGGACCATTACTCGTCTGTTTTCTTCCCACGCTCTAGCTCTTTTCAACTCCAAGCCTACTCCGATGCTACTTGGGCTAGCGACTCTTCTGATCGTCGCTCTCTTTCAGCCTATTGTGTTTTTCTCGGTGGTTCTCTAATTGCTTGGAAGACTAAGAAGGCATCATGGTTTCTCGTTCGAGTCAGAGGTGAGTTATGAGCTATGGCTCTTCTGAGCAATGAGAGGTTACTTGGTTGCGATGGCTAATTGAGGATTTTGGTGTTTCAGTTTCTGTGCCAACTCCTCTCTTGTCTGACAGTACCGGTGCTATCAGCATAGCTCATGATCCGGTGAAGCATGACCTCACCAAGCATATCGGTGTTGATGCGTCTTACACTCGGGCACAAGTGCAGGATGATGTCATTACTCTTCGCTATGTGCCTTCGGAGCTTCAGTTGGCTGATTTCTTCACAAAGGCACAGACAAGAGCTCAACATAGTTTCTTTCTCTCCAAACTCAGTTTTCGTGATCCACCCTGAGTTTGAGGGGGGGTGTTAGATATAGATGTATAGGTGTCTTTGCTATTTCCTCTTTGTGTAAGGGCTTCTATGCATATTTGCCCATGTACATGTTTGGGCTGAAGCCCACCGTAATGCACTGAGTTCATTCACTCCTAACTCTATCCAGGCAGATCTGATTATAATCCTTTCTCTTCCATGATGATTCATGACAATGTGAGATTTCTTTTGGCCAGAAATCTGTTAAAGGGATTCAACCATCTGAGGTTTCTCCTAGCAACGAACATGATGATAATCAGCCATTCCATGGTGATATATGTGGACCTGTTGCGGCCACATTGAATGAAGATATGTTCAATATAGTCATTTCCAGGTGGCGTGAGACGTATGAGGGTCTTAAGGAAACTAAGGACTACAAAACTCTTTCAGCAGCTGGGTCTTTAATGAAGAACATGGTAAGAGAATGTGTATTTTGTAAATTTTACAATGACAGTGATGCTAAATTTAGTTTTCCTAATAACCCATGGTTACATGCACATATCAAATTTGCCTTGTTTCTTGCTTTGAAAAGACTGAACAAGAAAACTAGAGAGCAGTTTGCGAAAACTGGCAAGGGGAGAAGCACTTGCGCAAAAATAAGTCAAGTTTGATCAAAATCCCAATGCTTAGCTCTGAAATTTTGATGCAGCTCACTTTTTAACCTTGATTCACTATCTAGTTCTTTAAAGGTTTATAACTCAAGTAGAGATAGTATTAAGTCCAAAGGGCATCTATATTCTATACATATACTTGTACATAAACTTTCTTTCCCTATCTTAATTGAAAGGCAGAGCTCCTGCCATTGCGTTCAAAAATATTCTATACATATACATGTGCCTAAGCCTAACCAAACTGAATTAGAGCTATGTAGAGCTTGACTTCAGAAAAATAGAGATTAAAACAATGTCGAGTTTAAATTGTCTTAGTTTTGAACCATTGCCAAACTTTAACCTATATTTTGCTATCAGCAAGAGTATTTTTTTTTTCATTCATCAAGCTAAGTGCTATGAGATTTTAACTTGATGAACCTTGTAAACTGCATACATCCTCATGTCAGGATCCTCAACAAAACTTGGTCTGAATGGGAATTACAATGTCTTACTGTCATGTGGGGGCAGCAGTATAACTGCAGGTCCAGAGCACGAGATGCAGCCAGGGCTGCCCCCGAGGGCACAGGCCAGCAGGAGCCTGAGGTGGTTTAGGTGGCTGGTTGTCTCAGCAATTAAGAAGTAGTTGAGAGGATAGAGTTAATGCAGGAATTAGAACCAAGGAGCCAGACGACTCCTATGTATCCAGGACTCAGTTGAATGAAGTAAGCAATGAACAAACCTATTCCTAATCTCCCTGTTCTCTCTTAATCTCATCCTCCTTCATCTTAATCTCATCCCCTTCAACATAGGGCGTCCAGGGGATAAACCCCACGCCATTATTAACCCAAGCTACGAGCTTCGTAGTCGAGGGCCAGCTACCTTGAGCACCAACGCCCTTGACACTTACCGACTTTAATGGAGAGATTGTCAATTCAAAACCACACGAGTACTTATTTTTCAATTGTGATGTCCATTAGAATATCCTTGTGGACTATTCAGTTAATACTGCAGGCATCAACTCTCTCTCTCCTCCCTCTGTTTGTGTATGTGTACTCTGTATATTTCTTCTTAATGCAATTATGCACACTGTGTTTGCACTCTATGTATATTTTTCTTGATGTCATTATGCACACCTCCCCTGCATTCTCGAGGAAAAAACTACTGCATGCATCTTGTGGACCCTCATAGTGCAGTACCTTGCATTGCAGATTGACATGATATATTTGGTGCTAAAAGTACTTCCTGAAGATTCAAGGGAATCTCAAACAGCTCGTGTTTTACTGTATAAACTGTTCTATGATCAGACAGAACATGGTCTCACTCAATTTCTGCTGAACTTGTTCAGATCGTTTGATAGTCACAAACAACCCAAAAGGTTTGTACGAAATATTCCCTTGGGAATTTCATCTCTGTCATTTGCTACTAAAACTGAAGCTTCAGGACATACAATAAGTCAATTAGTAGGCGCACTTCCTACACTAGAAAATTCTCGTCGAGGCGTTTAGAACATTATCTACATAATACATGTGTCCCTGACTTTACAAAAGCACAATATATAGCTTTAATCTATGCATCAAGTAGATGATAATTCATTTCCTAAAATACATAAGCTGCTGGACATTCTAGACTGGAAATTTGTCATCCTTAGAACTCACAGGCTAGATTTTCATGCTCTCAATGCCTTCAATGGTATTATGCAGTTTGGATGTTCATACTCTCAAAGGTTAGATTTTCTTTTTTAGAACTATAGATGAAATATCCCCTTCTAAACATGTAATCAAAATAATCCTTCAATAACAAGCAAGTTGTTGCGGACCTGTGTTTCTTTTCTAGTTGGCTGTACTTTTTGGTTTGTGTTTCTATTACATGGTTTGAATTATGTTCCCTTTCTGGTTAGTGGAGATCGACACTACCTTTTGCAATTTAATCCACTAAATGTGTACCATACTGTCATTTACTCTTATTTAACTTCACTGCCTGTTTTTTTTACCAGTGATCTAGTGGATTTATTAGAAACAATTCATATCATGCTACAGCTCATGGAAAAGCTTCAAGCACGCGGTGCATTAAGGGTATGATGTTCTCTTCCTGTCTGTAATATGTCTCTTGCTCCAGTCATAGTAATGTTCTCTGTGCATCTTCATTTTTCTAGCAAATTTTACTCCTATAGGTTCTGAACTGTTTTAAGTGAAGATGGGTAGCATCACACTCAATCAATCATTGCTCTATTTTTCCTTTAGGTTGCAAAAAAGACAAAAAAGGTCAGAAGAAAGAAGGCAACAAATGGTAAAAATGAGAATTCAGAACCCAAAGTGGAGAATGTAGAACTAAACGACGCTCATCCTACAGATGGGACCAAATGCTCACCTGAATCACTTCCAGATTTGAGGATTGAGGGTCCTGCTTTAGAACCTTCTCCCTCAGAACGTGGAAAAGTAGACACCAGTGGTGCACATGTACCGGATACACTTAACACTGCAGTTAACATGGAGAGTACCGCACATGCTGAAGGTGGCCCATCTTTCACAGACAGTGGTGTAATGAAGAATCTCATCGATGAAGAGGGTGAGACTTCAGATTCTTCAGTTGATCACCAACCTGCTACAAGTGAAGTTGATTTTAACGTTTCCCGATTAATATCTAGCCTTGCAAACAATTCTGTTGTGCAAAATATTTGCTGGTTGTTGACGCATTACAAAAGTAACTCCTACCGTACAAACCATTACATAATATGCATGCTGCGGAGATTCTGTGAAGATCTAGAGCTGTCACCAATGCTCTATCAGGTAAAAGAAACGCCTACTATGTTTCCTCACAGTTGTTTCTTCTTTGGGAGCTTATATTGTACTGCCTTTTGCAGCTATCGCTTGTAACAACTTTCTATGATATATTAGCGGAACAAAAGTCGTCTAGTTCAAAAGAGTACACAAACATTGTAAATTTTCTTTCTAAAGTTGTGAGGAAAATGTTGAGGGCAATAAAAAAACAGCCATTGCTATTTGTCGACATACTATTTTGGAAGACACGAAAGGAGTGCCACTGCATTGATGCTGATCTACTACTGAATGAGCTTAAGAAAGATGTTGGAAACAAGGATGGTGAAATTGGTTCAAGTAAGGGGTGGAGAGGTCCAGTAAATATAGCAGATTCTCTTGGTGACGATGAAGTTGACTTGGTTATACCGCAGGCACCTTATGATGCTGATAAGTAAGTTCTGTGCATTTCTTGAATGATGTTTTGTGTTACTATACATACAAAGATGTGCAGTGGTAAAGTGAACAATATCACATGTTAATTTCCATTGACATGCATACAGGGATGGAGATCTATCAGCTGATGAACATGGGGATGATTTTAGGAAGAGTAGTACTACATATAAAAGGAGCAGATTAATGTCACTTTCAGATAGTGATGCTGAGGAAAATGAGAGGTTCATTTTGTATGCTCTTCTGTATTTGAACACATAGCTAATTATCTGAACTTCAATCCTCACTTTGATATGAATGGATTTAATTCAGGAACCATGTATCGAGAGATTCGGTGCCCAAAGTTCCAAAACGACGAGGTCGTTCTCTTTTTACGGAAGAGCAAGAGAGGCTTATAAGAGACCTTTATGAAAAGTAAGGGTTAAAATTTCTTCCGAAAAAGAGCAATGATATGTCAATGTCCCTCAGTGTACTTTATAAAGTTAGCATTATGCAGAAATCACTGGATCTTTTTTACGCATGATTATTTTCATAGTATGGATTGCATGCTGAATTGCTGATGCCAGAATGTTTATTCCTTTATGTTGTACTTTGTAGATATAAGGATGATCGCAAATGCAGTCATGTAATAGCTGATGCTTTAGACCCCAGCGGGAAGATATCTTCTGCTCAAGTTTCTCGTAAGCTTGGACAGTTAGGTCTCAGGAATGTCACAAGGAGAAAAAAGGTTGCAGATGAATCTCTTTCAACTGGAGATCGGGCTACAGAACCACAAAACAATTCACTTGATGATCTGAACCCCATGCTAGCTGAACATAACCATGGCCCCAAGTCTAAAAGCTCCAGGTGAGTATTATAAATCGTAGTTTGTGCGTCCATTCTTAATGGTACCTAATCTCTATTCAGATGCCCAACAATTAGATAAACACATTTTACCTGTAGAATCGATACATTTGCATACTGATATGTTCAAAATAAGTACATCAGGCCTATCAGCTTCATTGGGAACTATATCTATATTTTACTTATGTGGTAAATGTTTCTGGAAAGTTAGTGTGAGTTCCTTAGTTTTTTCTCTCGAACACACAGGACAACCGTGTATCTTTTTATATCAAAGAGGTGATTTCCTTAGTTTAACTATCCAAATACGAGTTTGCTGGTATCTTATTAAACCTTAAGTTGGGCGGTGAGATCAGCGTGTTAGTAGTGCCTGACATGGAAGTAGTTTTTTTTTTGTTTCTTTTGTTTTTTCGGTTCCTTTTGGTTTGTACTTGTCCGCTTGGACCATTTTCTCAATATAATATAATGCTGCACAGTTCTCCTGCACGGTCGTGGAAAATAATCTTCTTATTAAACCTTAACTTGCATTTTTCCAGGGCTAAAAGGAAAAGGTTAAATGTGTCAAGCGATGGCCATGATGACACAAGTCATGGAAGATCATCCGATGAAGAAACATTACAAGTACTTAAAAGCAGGTAATAATATACCCACTTAATTTTAATCAGCTGATAAAGGAAACTCAACTATGGGTGAGAAGACATCACCATGGCTTTGCCTAAGAGAGGTGTACACCCTTAGGATGTACTCATGTGACTTTGGGGCCACCCTGTTTCAACTCTTCTAGTTCGGGTGGGCAGCCTCCCACAGATAGATGAAGCTGTTGTGATTTTGGTTTTTCTTTCCTTTTCCTTTTTAGATATGCTCATTGCCTTTTAATTATTGCAGAACAAAAAATAAGAAAGTTCCATTGGTGGATAGTTCACTGAGTGCTGCACTACAGCATCAAGAAGCTCAGCATGACCCAGACTCTGATGATGCGACCATAGGATCCATGATTAGGTGAACTCATTCAGCTGTAGTATATACATAAATACATGCAATTTAAATATCCATGATACCAGCTGTGAACCCTCTCATTAATTATATAACGTTCTCATTTGCCTCACATTTGACAGAAGTAGAAAAAAGAAGAGGTTATCCACGTCAGATTTTGAAGGGAATGTACAAAACCATCAAGAATCTTCAGACAACACCAACACCAAAGATTGTTCACCGACTATATCCCAACATGAGAAAACTTTGCTAGACACTTATCCTGATGATGAGACCATTGGATCCATCTTTAGGTGTGGTCATGCATTTTTATATAAACTTCAGGACTGCATTTGTTTAGATTTCATTAACTCAATCTGTTCCCAATTTTATTTATTATAAATCATTTCCTTTTCATTTTAACAGAAGTGGGAAAAAGAAGAGGTTAGTGACGTCAAATTTCTCAGCGAATATAGAAGACCAAGAGTCTTTGAGAAATATTAACCTACATGATGAGACTGTTGCTTCTAATATCACGTAAGTACATTCAACTTCAAACAAGAAATCCTTCAAATTAACAGGTTGCCTTAAGTTCATGACTATTTTTATTGCGAGCTTCATAAAAAATCAGGGATGATTTTTGGTTGCTTGTAGAATTAGCCTGTGAAAATGTCATAAAAAGAGCATAGCCTGCATAGCATGAACTTCGAAAACAGATAACTTCCTTATTTTGACATATAACCAAATAAGCATGTGAAGTTACATGGCAGACACCAGATAGACAGATAGTGGCAGTGGCTTCTAAGCTGTAGTCTGCGGATATGTTTTAAAAAAAATACTACATAAAGGAAGAATGGCATCCTCTCTTTGAATGTAGCTAAGATGTCATTTTGTTCTGCCAACATGCAGAGTTTATTTGTGAACATTATGTAGGAATTTGCATTTTTGTAGAGCATATGTGCATCACATTCTCAAGTGTTTATTGATGCAGGGAGCCCTTTCTTTTCTTAGTTCCACCTTTTCAGTATGGCTTAGCATTCTAGGATTGTGCTATACTATTGTTTTTGTCATATTATGTAAGGCATTTATGCCTATTGATTGAAAACAAGTAGCTAGATCATCTCATGCCAATAACTACAGTACGCATTAATCAATTACAAAAGAATTTTTCTCACTTGCAGGGGTGCTTCTGTAAATCATAGGTCTGATCCAGTCGATAACGGTGGCAATACCGTTGAAGCTGAACTTTTGGATGACTTTGAAGTCGAGCTAGATAATCACGAGAATACTGACCAAAGGATCACTGATGATGGAAACATGACTGAATCGGGGGACGCAACAAACTCTGATGCTAATCGAAGGGCTGGTTTGAAAAGAAGACACAGATTGGTTATTGATGACGACGATGAGGATGAGTAACTGTTCAGGACCAGAATTATTACCAAACAAATGTGGGATAAAAAAAAAAGCTGTTTCAGGATGATCTGCTACTATTTCCCTCGCGCTACTGAGCTCTGAGCAGGGTTCAGGATGGCCACCTGGCTGTATCACACTTCCCAGTGCCAGATGTTCTTCACAGAAACTTCATTCTGACCTGCATTTTCATTTGTAATAGTTAGTGGGGTCACAATCAAATGGAATTTTGCAGATGCAAAGTTCAGGCTGTAGAGCTGTCCTGTGTGGCCTCTTGTACAGAGTCCTTTTAGGGGGTGTTGTGATGGTAATTTCGAGTACTGTTAGTTGTAATTGAAACTACCAGCACTGCAACTCTAGGGAATGTGATAAGTTATGAAGCTCCGTAGTTGAGGAGGACATGTCTCCTTGCAGTGTGCTGGAGAAGCACCGGCGCCTTCCCCCGCCTGTCTGCGTTGATCTTCGCGCGCAGAGCATCCCTAGTGAGGAATGGGGATCCAGCTCCAGCCACGATGGAACTGACGTGGCAGTCAAGTCGCGCCAACCTCCATGGCGTGATTCAGTTGTGTCAAGCCTGATTAGCATGAATGGCTACTTTAGTCGTGCCGAAGCATCTGTGTGACTCAAGATTTTTTTAAAAAAAACCTGTGACTCAAGTACCCGGTCGAGTCTACCTAGATTTTCAAGTTGTCTTTTCTGCTGTTGTATAGGAAAACCGTCGCTGCTTAACTTGAACTGGTCCCTTCAGCTGCTGCTCTAGTTCCAAATTATTGTTTCTCTTGCATCATCTATACACATACTACACAAGATGGCATTTTTGTATGGTCTCAATTTCAGCCTTCAGTTCCATGTATTCGCGCCACCAATTTCCCTGAAGCTCATGTCTTTTTTTTTTTAACTGAACATAAGTTTGGCCCACTGCAGTCAGCTACTTAACATCAATTTTGCAAATTAAAGATAAGAGCTGACACGTAGACTTTCAAGAATTCAGCTTTACCATATGGTTATCTAAATATTGGTGCAGTACATTGAAGCAAATTATCACTTGCATTCTCCAAACATGTCATCACAGTAATGCCAAAATCAATAATAACTCCAGGATCTGTACAGGTTCACTACAAGTAGTAATGCCAACCTCTATGAGTGCTACTACTCCCACAGTTTCGGGAGTCAAGTTATAGCACTCATGTTCACTACAAACTGGTTTCATATAGTGTTGTCATGCGGCTGTGACATTTAGCCATTTAGGGTTGGTAGGGAGCACTCCCCACGTCCGTGCAGTCCTATCCCTACGAAATCCAAGAGGGGTGAGTAAGCTGGGACACTGGTGGAGTATCACGCAACAGACTAATCCCAATCTCGTCCGGCTCTGAACCTGAGGTCCTCGTCCTCACAGTTGGCGTCCTGATCAGCCTCAGGGTCTGCAGCCTTTCCTCGCTCTGTCGAGGTCCCAGCACGAGCACAAGCTGTTACACCTACAGAGGTGTAACTACAGCTATTTGTTGTTTAATTAAGGTAATAACATAGAATGGACCACCGAACATCACCTGCAGTTGATGTTGTGCCTCTGGAGGTGGTGCAACTGGAGTCTGGAGGAACCGGTGCCATAGTGATAGTGGTACTTAGATAACCGCATTGAACTTTGGAGTTCCTTTAATAATAAGTCTATCTATCATAAATCCGATCACACACTCTATCGTGTCTTGACCGGCAAAATAAAATGTTCTAGCTTATACTTGTGCCTTGAGCCTATACATTTTGTTTTTTTCTTTCTTCTTTTTCAAGAATTGAGCACTTGATCACCATTTGGCCACCATCATCTTCTCTATGAGTGTCATCCTTGCTCAACCTTGGCATAATGGCGTGGACTTAACCTATCTCAATCACAACACTTAGAGTAGAGTTTAGTCCACTAGTTATCTCAGTTACCAAAACCAAATATACGGCTTTCAACATGTCACCAAGTGCCAAACATGGGACTTTCAACATGTCACCAAGTGTTAGATTCTCATGTACCTAAAAGGGCCTAGCCTCTTAAGCACACCAACAAGGTAAGTAGAAAGGAAAACACACAATGGGAAACAATAGTAAGACATGAGTTTATAAGACTTACTCATAGGACAATAAATAAAGCTCCTTGTCATGACTATCCTCCCTTCCCAATCAGCATTCCTAGGTTAAGTGCATAGCAACGCACAAATGCTTAACAAGCGAAAGCAGCAGCTTGCGCCCAAACAGCTGAGCAAAATCATCTTGTCAATGACATGGAATTTCTGGTTAGAGCTTGATTAAGAAATATGACAGACATTTAGAATCACATCTGCTCTTCTCTAGCTATAACGTTCGAAACTGATTTTGTCAACCAATGTGTGATTGCTCAAAGAAAGCCGGAATGCATATGTTGCGTTGGATTTGTGTTCACACAAGGATGGACCGAGTTCGGAACGATGAATACATGATCGTCTAGGGGTAGCACCAATTGAACAAAAGCTTATCCAACATCGGCTGAGGTGGTTTGGCCATGTCCAAAGAGACCTTCAGAGGCACCAGTGCATTGTAGAGCCCTAAGTCGAGATATCAATGTGAGGAGAGGTAGAGAAAGACCGAAGCTAACATGAGATAAGGCAATAAAAAGAGATTTAAAGGGTTAGGATATACCTAGATATCTTTGTTTTGATATGAGTGCTTGAAAGTAGCTATTGACATGCCTGAACCATGACTAGGGGCTCATGTTGGGTTTCAACTCTAGCCTACCCCAACTTATTTGGGACTAAAAAGGCTTTGTTGTTGTTGTTGTTGTTGGTGGTGCTGCTGCTCAAAGAAAGCTGAAAACAGAAGGAGTGACCTATTTCAACCTTACCTAAAAAATAACCTCAACACTAAATCACTAGACCTTATTTGCCACTTAGCATGTCTAAACGTCAAACAAAAGGGGATTTGGTCCCATAAAGGAACCGTAAACATCCAGTACCGGGCTACAAGCAGGTCCACCGTCCACAAATCACTCACCTCGCCAACCTCGCCGCTCGATCTCACCTCCACCGTCGCCACCACCTCGGCTCTTCCACACACACCACTCACTAACTCACTCTCTCGCTCGCTCTCGGGTGTTGTTGTGTTGTGTTGGGTTTGGGCCATTTGGGTCTCCAGTAGTTATAGACTGGTCCACATGCAAGGCCGCAAGTGTTGACTAACACCGTTTCTACCACACAGCATGATGATGGATGGCAGTTGCCCAACACCTCGCTAATTGAAACAAAACATATTTAGAACAAGTTTCAAAAGAAATTGGCAACAAGCTTCATTTTGTCAACGAGTATTTACACCAATTGTAGCTTCTAAAATAGGGTTATTTTAGGCTCAAGGTCGCTACCCTTCCAAAGGAACCTGCACATGGTGGGGAGAACTTTTGACCAAATGTCAGATTTGGGACTCTCTCTTCAGGCCTAGCTGGAACAATGGAGAACTTTGGAAACAATCTGGAGCATAAAGTATTGAACTGCTACCGCTTATCAGTGTGGTGGTGCACGCGTTCACTAGGTACAAGGACAAAGCAGTCCTAAAGAGGTCCATGTCAGTGAAGCGTTTGAGATTGCTCCTGTTTTTGTTAATAGCTCAGGTAGCATCACTAAGCTGATGTTGTTAGCTCCGGTGTTGATCTTGAATGTCCAAATCTTCCCATGAGCTCACCATCCGTGAGTATGGCATATTGCAATGGCAACTTCCACACTGATCATGTGCATCAAATCTTGATGTGATGTGTCATAATTCTCTGTCCTTATCTATTCTTTAGGACAGAACTTCAACTCTACTGACATAATACCGTACATTGGAAATAACTTCTGCATTTCTATTCCCTCCCTTTGAAAGTTTTTGGAGTCCACAATCATCACCCATGCATATCTATCATAGCTAGGTGTGACAAGGAATAGAACCCCCTACGGTCTTAACATTGGAACAAATGGTAGCTCACGAACAACAATTCTAGAGAAGCAACACACTATCAACAATGCATTTGACCGAGCAGTATGAGCTGTACCAGTCCTCTTGTCTCTTAACCTCAACAACAATTCCTCCAAGTTTGCTTTTCCTTCTTCTCACAATTTCTCACACCACAACCAATGTGGTGAAAGCTTTTCAAGTCGTCATAACTCTTGAGGAAAATGTTCTCGAATGAGTTCAGAAAGTCTCTCCTATTTTATGGCATCGTATGAACTCTTTTCTAAATCTTTGATCAGATAACCATAGTTTGAGAAACCCTTTATGTAATTTAGGTCTAAGAACACCACACTTCCTTAGCCAATCAATAAAGTCATTGAGAAAAACTTCTTTGCCACCGTGTTCCTCGAGATGCGGATTGGTCTCCTTAAGGAAGACTACCCTTCTATTGTCGAGTCCTGTTGTGGGATCAAAGTGAATGTTGAATTTGAATACATGGTCTCTTGGGGTAATCCAAATCTGCAATAGTAAACCCAACTTAAAGCAAATCACTTTGGTCAATGCTCAATCACATCTTCGCATAAGATTCATATACAAGAGGAGGATTCATCATGGAGGAGCTGGTAGCTCCTATGGACAAAACTTTGTATCCATTCCAATGATCCAGCTATTAGCATAAGGTTTTAAATCTGATCCAAAGAATACTCAATTTATCTTTCCAAACAACCAAGATAATGTCTTCCTTCTGATTTTTTATGAAATTGTCTCATCATTGGTAGCAATGGTACCATGTTCTAATTTGATACAAGCATGTAACAAAAAACATTGAACTATTTAAGCATTCTCTAAATTCAACAAATATGTATGCACATAAATAAGCTCTGTCCTTTCTCTAAATTTGACAAATATATTTCCAAGTCCATTATGTTGGAACTGGCAATTCTGAACAAGAGAGAGGGGACGGAGAGAGCTCGATGGTGGGTTTTGAAGAAGTGGAAATGAGTGGAGGTGAGCTCCCTTGCCCTCATGCCTTTGGGCACTTATATAGGCAGTGGCTATTTACAGTT